GTCTTAGAATTTATGTTTAGTTGGTAGATAGTTTGGATCATAGACTGCTAGTAAAAACTAGAGGACACTAGTCAGCTGTTTTATCCTAGCAATGTACACCCATGACTCTTATACCTATTTTGTGGTCATTGATTTTGAATGGCTATCTAGGTAAAATCAATCAGTTTGTGATGTAAACGATCTCTAATCCTCTTATCTCAAATATTCTGAAAATTTGTGAATATGATACTGTAGCCGATATATTGTGCGAACAGTTTTGGTGGGCGGAGCGTTGAAATTATTCAAACTGCTGTGGTTATTTGGAACATTATGTTTACATATGGTATCTTTTACATACTTGGTTCCCGATTCCTATCAAGCTGAGAGTTCCAATTGTGATGAATGTTCATATTTTAACATAAGTTATTGTTATAAGGGAAGAATTACTGTATGATTCATGTAAGAATATGAATGCTCAAGGAACTATCTGAAATGATCTGAAGTTTCTTTATAGGACAATTAATCCCAAGATTTCAACTGTTAGCCTAAGGACTTTAGTTGACCAAGCCTTTGATTGTTGAATTGAGCCATGTTGACAAGTGTAAACTATTTGGTTGAGGTCCTTGTAATAACCTAACTGGTAGTTGGAGACATTGAGTGATATGTCTTAGAATCGATTACAATGGCAAAGATGCATTCACTTTTTATCTTCTAGACCATGAGTTTTAAACTTGAAATGTACTTTTTATCCCAAGAGTATATTTTTCTCTCGAATTATATTGTTTATGTCTCATTTTGTTCTACTACCACTGGTACTGTTGTAGTGAACAAGAACACCGGCGGGGACAGTCGAATGTATTTGACACAAAATTACAGGACTTGTTAATAAAATCTAGCAATCAAATAGTAAATACGTAATTTGTTCATCAATTGCCTCATAATGACTCAGAATTCATTGTTCTTGCATTTTCATACGAATTGCATCCTGTTTCCATTTTTTACTGTTCGATCCTCTTGTCTCTCTGCTGCCAGACATTCTGTTCACGACTAACTGATAAGTCTTGTCGATTGAACGCTATATTCGTTTCCTAAGCCATTCTGGTAACCCGCAAGCTAGAACTACAGAGCGACCTGCAACACCAGAGAGAAGACGCAAAGTATGAGAGAAATACTTTATTCCAAGGTTCATTTTTGTACAGAAAACATGGGTATTTATAGATGCTAACGTTTGTTAAACCAACATCATATTCCGGCCAATCCGTTAACGAGATATTATGCTACTGACCAATAGTAGCACGCCACGTTGGAATTCTAGAATGCTCCATCATGCCCTGATTGGCTATGACTCTTCGGCTACTTTTGGGCCTCTGGAGGCTCCGTTGAAGTTCTCCGAAAGCCGACTCAACATTAACATCATCTACTACTTATGTATAAGTAGCACACACCATATTGTTACTGTTTGTATTTGTATCATTTGTCATGATAATTTTTTGTCGTTGTCCTAACATTGCATTTCAACGTGCATTGCTTGGTGAATGTGCTACTTTTAATATTACTTATCAGTAACCTGCATAAATGGCTTATTTCTGAATTCATGCTTCCGTTAATGAAAATAAAAATAATTCATAACAATTTTTTGAGATTTGAACTAGATTTTCGTTACAACCAGTTCGATAATTTAAAAAAATCATAAATCCTTCAAATTGAGGCGAAAAATCAGTTTGTTTTAACAATATGTGTAGATTTCTGGCGGCCTGCTCAAACATCTGGGCTACCTATTCCTGCCATCCAACTATTTCAACAACCTATTCAGGCGCGTTTTTGAAAAGTTCATGACCTTTCACTGTACAAGTTACAAAACAGTCCAATCAGAGACATCTTGATTCTTGGCAATATACATTGAAAAGAGTGAACATTATTCAGATATCGACTCCTGAACTCTTAACATTTGACTGGTGATCACTCAATATTTGTCGCAACGATCGATCAAGAAATAAGAAACGGAAACTTGTTGAAATACTTTATGCTGAGAATTCTATATTGTACCAAAAATATAATATTGAATAAAACAATTATTATTATTATTATCAATATATATCACCACAGTAGTACCGAATAGTTAAATATCTTTCAACGAATAAATCAATATGACAAACAAAATATGTATACAAGATGACTAGAAATTAACCAGATACAATTAAAGAGATACAAAGACAGATATTCCAATCACAGAAGATATTCTGAAATCTGAATAATCATATCTTCTTTTAATTAATCCTTATAACTAAAATGATACCTAATATAGTAAAAGAGCATTTGAAAAAAAAAGAAATATTAACAGAATCTAAGTATAGATGAAAAAATGATGATAGTTTTAAAAAAATGTATCTCTAGTTGATGATCTAACCGTTATCCTTTCCATCATCATAATATTGATAAATCATAACAAACGCATAATCATGTTTATTTTTGATAGATGAATAAGGAAATATCATTTTATCATAAATATTGAAGTATGATATTCAATGGAAGTTATTGAACAGTACACAGTACACTTTATATATATTCTAACTAAAATAATCTAGAACTACTTTTCTTTTTCTTTTCAACAACGATAAAAACAGTAAAAAGAAAAATCGGAGATAAATAAAATCGGTAGGGTGATTGTGGCATTTGAACAATAATGACAGAAAATGAAAAAAAAAACCCAAAATAAATGGAGAATCAACTCTACAATACATAAATAAATAAAAGAATATAATCAATTATTAAAAACATAGCTGCGATGACATTTTTATCTTGAATAAAAAGAAAGTCTACGGGTTGTTTTTCTTCGAAAAAATAAACAGCGAAACTAACGAATGACAACACTAGTTACAAAAAAAAACAGATAATGTGAGTGTATGTATGTGTGAGAGAGGGAGGATAGAGTGAGGGAATAGAACAGTAAAATGAAGTAGAACAAAATGAAAAACAATCAATAGTTTCTATAGGGAAAAAAGACCAAATATTTATATAAACATATATCTGAATATATTTAGTTTGCTAAAAGAAAAGTAAACAGTAATTATGTGTTGAAACAGTAAAAATTATAATGGATCAAATGAATATTTTGCTATTTTTATTCGATGCATCTGAGAGAAAAAATATAGCGTTTCAAAATCCTAAGATAGCATTTAATGCACTAACACAAACCTTATGTATATGTATATAAAGAGAGAGAGAGAGAGTACGTGTGTGTGGGAGAGATGGGAGAGTGAGAGGCATCAGGAAGATCTACCGTTTAGGAATGTAAACATACATGAATATATATATATATATATATATATATATATAATTCGATGTAAAAGTAATTAAGTAGTTTATCTATTTTATTTTCATAAGAAATGAGAAGTGACAAATAAAAATATAAATATAATCACATAGCAATATACGTAAGAGAAATCAATTCACTGAAAGCATATTATTTTAATTCTAATGCAACAAGATTTGTTTCACATAATGCTTGATATAAATCATTTAATAAATTTTCATAATCACTTTTATCAAGCGCAGCAATAATAATCGTTTGTTCCGGTTGTAAATTACCATTGTTAAAACTACTAGGAATAGATTGATGATGTGATGTTCTTGTCTCGGGAAATTTCCATAATTCTATTCCATAACGATACACTATGATATCATCAAAAAATGTAAATTTTGTAGTCATTAGGAGTAAATATATATACATATATATATATTGGACAAAATGTTGATATGTAAGAAAAAAATGAGGATAGTACACATGGTTTTATGTAATACAATAATTTCTACTAATGATCTTAAATTGTTGAATAAGTAGACTTAGACAGAGAACTTTTCTTTATAAGCAGAGACAGATAGTGGATAGCAGTGGGATCGAGGACGTGCGTTTCGTCCTATCTGGAGCTCGTCAGCCAGTTGTACCTGCATCCGAGAGTTGATGTTCACCCCTAGACTCACACCCGGTACCGTTTGCTTCAAACATCATCGCGTTATCTCCTTAGATACTGAGTCTAGATAACCACTAGCTTGTGCAATGGGGTGGAGTTAAACTCATTTTTGCATTGTTTAATTGAATCTTCCCATTGATGTTTAAGACTGCGATTGACCACGAACGGTACTTGGCTCAAGTCCTGGAGTGAACATCAACTCTGAGATGCAGGTACATCTAGCTGATCAGTCCTAAATAGGACGTAACGGGCGTCTTGGATTCCGCTACTATCCACCAACCATCTCTGCTTATAATGATTGTGACTGAAGGCAATATCAAGGCAATCCACACAGGATGGAAATATGCCAATAAGAGACTGATTAATTGAAATCCTAAACATCAATGGGAAGATTAAAACAACCAATAGAAAAATGAATTAAACTTATTTTTAGATTAGTTTAGTGGATATATAGATAAAAAAATCCAAAGGTTAGACTATAAATCATTTGTAAAATTTTTAACATTATATATATATATATATATATATATATAAACTAATGTGTTTGTATCTTGTACATTGGTGAAGGAAACAAATTGTTTGGCTGGGGTATATAATTGGTAGAGATGAAACTTTCAGGATAATTTTACAGAGAATTGTTGTTCATAGTTTTTGGTGTCATTATTGAGTACTTAGCTTATGGTAATTTTATAATAGTTTTATTGTCAGATCTCATTTTATTTATTAATTGTTGTCGTAAGCTTTACTTTATCTAAATTGCCGTTAATCAAATATGGACTTAGTGTACAGATTTTATATCAAATATAACTCATAATAAATATATTTTTGTTATATCCCCTAATATGTAGAAAGATTGTATTTCTGACATTTCGAGGTACTAATTAAATTTATTTTTTTTGGTTGAGATCATGAATTAATTGGTGTTAGACCACCGTTGGAAACCTGGAAGCACTGGACGGCCGTCTCGTCCTAGTATGGGACTCCTCAGCAGTGCGCATCCACGATCCCGCACCCCACGGGATTCGAACCTAGGGCCTACTGGCTTCGCGGTTATTTATTTACTCTGAAGAAGTGAAGTACATTAGGTCACGAAGAGTCAAACATACAACTTTTCTACTCATTGGGATATAAAAAAATATATTTATTATTAACTATTTATTCGATGCTCAATTTACTTGAAATCAAATATAACTCAGTTCTGTACAAGTTGTAATTACTTATTTGTGGTTATATAATGGATATATATAAAACTGGATTTTTGAATAAGGAGGACAAACACAGTACAATAATATAAGGTTAAATCCACTTGCTATCTTTGTCTCCAGATTTGACATTGAAAGGATGAAAAAAAGCTCGTGGACTAACAGGGATTGAAATTCATGACAATTGTATATTGATCAAAATGAGGACTGTTATTCTGACAGGTATGAAGCTCATTAGTAATTAATGGACAATTAGAAGGAAGCTAAAATTTTCAACACCAATTTTAGTATTTTACTTTGATCACGTCAATAAACTTCATTGAAATAATCAAATTTCTTGGAAAATTGTCTACAAACACCATTAAACATGTTTCATAAAATGAGAAATCCCACTCATTCAATCAGTGGTTTTTTCAATGCAAACAAAGGAAATTGAAACAAAATATCACTGTTAATTAGCAAATGAATATCTTGAGATGCCTTAAATTTTCATATTGTAGATTAAATACTTTTTGCTGACCACTTTTCTTTAAATCAACTGACATACATTACTGGTTAACTCAATGATTCTACAATTTTATCAATGAACTGTGTTCTAAAGAGACGAGTTTAATGAAGTTACAACACTTGGAGCTATTATTCAGATTGGTATTTATATTTTTATTACATAGTAGATAACTGTTTTATTGTATTTCTATATTCTGCTTAATGTTAGCTCCCTTCGAACCTACTATTACCTAATTATTGTCAAGTAATTATGCACTGTTTACTTTGTTTTCTGCCACTTATGGCATGATTATGTTTAAAGTATGATTTTCTATTTGTTGTGCTGTGCGGCCTGCTAAGTGGTGTATAAAACCTAATGGATGTTCGAGATAGTGGCTGGCTGATTGAGATGTTATAATGGAAACTCTGCTGCAAACGTTTCTTTGAATATGAGGTTGTGATAGAGAAAGGCTTGTGTATAGACGGACTAATAGGGATTTAGCGTGTATTGGCTCAAGGTTGGCTTTGGAGGCCAGAATATGTAATTGGTCAAGTCTAGTACGCGAATTTACAGACGGAATAGTAGATGTGAAATGGAGAAAGCATAGGTATAGGGCTGTGAACTTTTATTGAGATCACGAATCGATTAGTGTAAGACCACCATTGAAAACCTGAGAGGCTAAGGGTTGGCGCGCGAGACTGGAGGTTTCTAGTTTGAACCTCACATATAGGACCATCGGTGCGTACTGCTGAAACGTCCCATACCATGACAAAACAGCCGTCTAGTGCTTCCAGGTCCTCAATGGTGGTCTAACATTGATCGATCCATGATCTCAAAGAAATATTATAATCGGAGTTTTGATTGATGGTTTCGGCACGTGCTACTGATTTGTTTCTGAAGGCATAACAAACTGTTTTATCATAACACTACTCGATTATGGGATAAAACTCAAGTAATACTGCAAAATTTCAAAAGATAAAGTTGAACTATTAACGCTTATGTATGAATTTTTTTTACTTACCATCAGTTTTAAAAGGACGAATTTTACATCCATATAATGAAAAAACATATAAAGCAGTAAGACGTGTATAGGAATGTGAAGTAGAATTAGCTGCCTTTCGACTATAAAGTTCATTTTTTGATCTGCTTCTTCTTCCTCTTCCGCCTCCTACTCTATGAGGTACACAACCAACATTTGGTTGCATACAGTTAAGTGTATTAGATTCAGAATTCATTATTTTAAACTTTTTATCACAATCGGTATATAATAAATCTAATGGTGGACGAAGAAAACCATCACATTGATCTGGTGATAATTTCTTATCATTTATTTTTGATTGATTTTTCCTTGACTTGTCGAAAACTAATCTTCTACCAGAAGTACGTTTTGAAGAGGTATCTTTTGCAATAATAATTAGGTCATTAAAAACAAACAAATGTCGTAGAATACTGGTTTCTTTATGAGGAGGTTGATTTTGATTAATCTTCAAATGAGAAAAAACAACAGAAACAATAAGAAAAACAAATGGTGGGTGTTAGCGATTATCGATTATTGTGTTACTTTAGTTATTGATCCATAGTGAAACATGTATTATATAACAAATTATATTTTTTCCGTAATAGAGGGTTTATGGAGAATGTTGAATTTTGTGGATTACAATACAGATTAATTTTGGCTAGACAACCATCGAAAACTAGGTTGAGGTGAAGCGCTTACCACGAGGCATGGAAATTGTAGTTTAATTCCTGGAGGGGTTGTGTATGCATCCTGTTGATGAGACATATTAGGACGAAATAACTATCCAATCCTTCCTAGACTTCAACGGTTGTCTAGCTTCAGTAAGTCTGCGGTTTTATCTTCCGATTATTGTTTGGTTGAAATTTAAGAATCATTTTCATAATTAATTAATTTAATTATCCATTTCTACTATTCAAATCAAACAGATTTTCACAAAAGAAAAAATTAGATTTCATTTGGAAAATTACACAAAATTTAATTCGATTAGGTGTGAATGCTATCTCACACTTGAAAAGAGGTTTAGTGGAAATCAGGTATGTAGTCTGTGTAAGTAAAAGATTCCAAGCAGTGACATTACCACTGAAAAAGTAATGTAATTCAATGTTATATTTCTCGTGTCAATCGTTTTTGTTAATTTACACGACATTCTATGTGACTGTAGCTGTTATCTTGAAAACATAGACAAACTTCCGTGTCGTGGTAACTCAGGTGAGACATACTGTTTAAAAATCATATCTCTTGAGAGGAAGCCAGAATAGACATAAATCTATACGTATTCATCTCTCGTTTCTTTTTAAAAATAGACGACAGCAGCGAAAATGTCAAGCTTTATTGTTGTTTTCATCTACATCTTATTGTTTAGAACATTGCAACAGATTGTGAACATTTCACAAAACCACGCAAGCATATTTTTCAGTCCACATACATAATTAATTCAGTAAAACAAATCTAAGATCTACAAAATCATTTCAGTATTTGCATACTTCTAAAATAGATTAGGTTAAAAGGTTGAAAGAATCTCATAAATGGTATATTCTAATTAATTGTAGTTGATTTGACAATTCAATACAATGTTGGTTATTCCATGTAAGCATAATTTGTAGTTCATCAAATCTGTACAACTGTGCACCATTAAAATGTTAACATTTTTTGTAATCTACCAGAGTGACATCCTATGATTTGGCTATTCAAAGCAAATATATGAATTCTATTAACACTATTATATTCCATCTTATGATGAAGATGACGAGAAATGAGTGATTATTTACCTATAATATGAACTAAAAATTTATGTTAAGCTTAACTAACCAAAAATGGTAACACAAGGTAAAAACGAAACTTACATATCTTAAATCGATAGAAGAAAAGATGAATTAAACCATACAATAAAAATATTACCAATTGATTTGGAAGTAGCATAAGATTCTGAGAATTAATAATGCTGATAAGTATTCATGGTTGAAGTGAATTATACTGACAAGTACGAATAACTAAATAGCCAGTTAGAAAATAGTGTTTGGTTAAAAAGCAATTTATCATTCAATGAATAAAGTTTTGAAATGATTAATGAATTTTTACATGTTGAATTATTCATTATAGAAAAGAAGAAAAAGGTTGAGGTAAGTAGTTGGAGTTAGAATGGGAGAATGCTTTTTATTTATAATGAAGGATAACCATGTAGATAGCTCTTGAAATTTGGATTCCAAGAACTTTTAAGCTGCATGCAAAAAGTCATAGATCATGTAAAAGTGTTATGGATATTTCAATTTTTCCTGTTTTCTATTGTTTGACACTGAAGATACTGACGACTTTCTCGTTATCATGTGAGATATCATTTTGATTCTTCAGTTTTTTAGAGTAATATTTATAACTCTTTTAGCAGGAATGGATATTCAACCAAGTTCATCAACAAACTTATGAATGAAAGAAAAATAAGATCAAAAGTAACAACTGTTTCGAAGAAGTTACTGTCCTTGAAGTCGCAGTTCCTAAATGACTCTACCGAGGAAATAATAACGCAGAGGTTAGAAAAAAGCAATTCAGAAAACATTTAATGCAGCCAAGCCGAATAAAGTCTTCCGATTATGAAAACCCCTAATAAAAATAAACTGAGTTCGCCACATTTATGTATGTCTGTCAATTCAACTGCTCTTGTGGAGCCAGTTACTTGAGGTGTATCGTTCGCTAAGTCCGTCATCATATAGCAGAACACCATTCGTCTCATTCATGTGAAGAACAGGTAAGATGGATTAAGAGTTCTGATGTCTTTCAATCGGCTGGTACCGAACATTATGTTGACTTGAATAAAGCTCTAGAAATTATTCACCATATTCCATCAGATTTAAAGTATGTTTTAGGTCATTATCTTTTGCATACTGCTGAAGCTATCAGAATAGATATTCCCAAGCCTAATATTTTCAATCAAAAGAATTTTAAACATCTCTATCTGTAATGACGATAGGTATGTCAGTGTGTTCAAGCTGGACACACATTGATTAACCGTATTCTTTCAAAAAGAAACATATTCAAACAGTTTTCTAATTTTTATAGTTGAACTTTTTACAAACCCCCCCATATTGTTCATTTCCTAATTCCTTTCATCATTGTTTAATTTATATCTTTTTTTCAATCTTTACAAACAATTACTTTGATGATGATAATCTTTTTTTTTCTTGCAATTATCCAATTATTCATTTGATAGTATTTTTGTAAACACTGTGAAATTATATAATTCGATCTGTTATCCCACTATTCGATTAGTATTATTTTATTTTTCCGTACATAGGTTGTGAAGATTGTTAAGTTTTAGTCGAGATCTTGAACCGTTCAACGTTAGACAACTATTGTTAATCATATATATATATATATATATATATATATATATATATATATATATATATATATATATATATTGATATATATTCGTGTAGAACCTTAATGGATAACTAACTAAACGGAACATTTCTTCACACTATTTAACTTTTCATTAACCTATAAATGAAGATTTTCACTATAATGATTTTGCAAATGATTAAAAGTATGTAAATATGTATATACTTGTATTCATTCGTGGTAGATTAATTGAAAATATGAGAATAATGATAAAATCAAAACAAATGAATGGGAAAAATTAATGTGAGAAAATGGTTGATAACATAATTAATTTTAATGAAAATTAATTCTTTAATGAAAGTCCACGTAATATATTCACCGAATCGTATGAAAGATGAATAAATGCTAAGTAAACATTTTATTATATTTATGAAAAATTAATATAATAATAATAATAGTAATAACAATGGAAATAAAAAGAAGAAAAGAGAGAAGATGTACATTTGTCAAACTAGTACAACCTATGGACAAAATCATTATTAAATTAATAGGTTTTCGGATTTGATCAAGTTACAATAAACGAATGAATATACTTGCTCAGAATAAACTGTTTATTACATGGAAAAGCAATCTAATATTACATGCACACATAAAGATAATATTATGTTGTGATTGATATGCAAAACTTTCAACAGTATAAGACTTGACAAGATCTCTGATATAATTTAATTCAAAGTTTAAGGGAAAATTCTTTTTGCGCGAGTTTCGGAAACCTACTGGTTTTAATTTCAGTTTCAAGTTTAACTTTTGATATACCCCGGTGATTGATCATTTTCAAGTAAATGTATTGATTATGCCATCTATACAATTGGATTTCATTTGCTAAAAAAATTGTCACTATCGTATACACAGTTCATTATTTAATAATTGGTTGTGATTTGCTTAAGCCAAGTAAAAGTATAATTTATTTTTCTTAAATTGTATCATTAAAAGTAGATATCAAATTGTGTTTGAAATGGGACATTGTTTTTTTTAAAAAAAACAACTAAAAATATACAGCTTTTCATAAAAGCAATTCTGGCATTTACTACAGCAAACTTGATATAAAATCGTTAAAACTTTCTTAGTTCTTTTACTATTCCTAATCTATCCTATAATCTGACGTTTTCATGACTTTCAGTTTGTCTAATCTGTCAACTCTGATGAAGCAATACATGACGCTATTGTTGCATGTCAAGCTCAAAGAGAGTTTTATAGAACGTGTACAAACTCTGTCTTGTTATTGTTTCCGATATAGAAGATGAGTTTCTTCCAGTAAACAGATTTGGTATGTCTCTAAAGTGTACTGGTAATGATTTACGTACTGTATGTTTGTATGGATGACAAAATGTGTTATTCTTCACTATCGTACACACTGATTTATAATAAACTGTATAATAAATAAAAAGCCAAAAAAAATTATAACCTACATGAATCACCGTACAATAACAAACCAATCGACGATGTGGTTCCACTAATTCAAATGGATTATTCGTGAATAAGAATTCATTATCAATGTCATCAGTGTTTAAAATTTTAACTTCTTGCAAATTTCTTATTGCTTTAGATATATGTCGAACGATTGTTGTTTGATCTGAACCTGGTTCCAATGGTTTAACTTTAATACGATGAAATATTTCAGTTAATGTACGATTTGAGAATACATGTTTTATATCAAGAGATTTGTTATTATTAATATTATTTTCATTGTCCAGAATGGATTCAGTATTAGTATTACCACTTTCATTAACCATATCGTTTTGATTAACATTTGAAATCTTTGACTTTGATTTAGCCGTGAAAGAAGATAGTGAAGATGATGATGATGAAGATGGTTGATTTAATAAAAGATCTAGAGAAAGCAGAAAAAAGAGACAAAACAAGAAGATCTTTGAAGGTAGCAAGGAAAATCAAAGATATAAATAAATCGAGAATACAGTTTGTCGAACAACATAAATTCATTATATTTTAAGGCTTTTTATCAGATGTGAATGGCCTATAGTTACAACTAATTATGTCATAGTAAACTAAGTATTACATAATGTAATTAATGAAATTCAGTTGGTAACAACAGAAATAAGAAGAAATAACATATTTTACATAGTTAAGATTGGTTATTACTTTTGATATGTTGAAAATAAAATCATGCAAGGAGTTGGCAGAAGCTGTAGATGATAATGAAGAAACAAGAAATAAACACAAATTGTTAACAAATGAGTGATAATAAAGGCATCTAAATGAAGTAAATGTAAAGTTAACGACGTGAGAGAATGTTAGTGGAATTATTTAAAGTTTATGTTGCATGTTTTTAAGTAATCTAAGTACATGTGAAAAAAGTTATATTGATATGTAAAACTTTACAACTTCATACATAAAGAAATCTGGGGTTTGATCTATAGGTTCTTGAAGATCACAGGTACGTTATGCTGAAAAGGATCAACTTACAGGAAACTTAGGTAGGACAGCGATTTCTAATGATTACCTTCAGTTAACTAAGATAAAATCTGTTTAATGTAGTGTAATAAATTACAACAGTTAATATATTGTATCTTAAGTGCAGTATAAAAAGAATAAATTCCATTGTAGAACCAGTGATCTGTCACTGAGCGCTAGACAAATCATCCATCAAGCTGAATCGTTCCTTCGCTAGACAATAGATCACGGAAGCTTGAATAGCTTGTCGAATATCTTTAAGGTCACAGATGACTAATGCAGACTAATCAATCGCATATCATAGACTAGTGAATGTAATGATGGCTCTACTATATAATTCTTTAGTCTTCTCCTATAATATATTCCTTTAATAAGGTTATGTTTGTTTTATTCAATCATCAGAGTAGTTACAGTAACTATTACAACGAAAGAGTAATTCAGGCTAGGTATTAACCTCGAAGTCTGACTTCGACATAAGCCAGGAGGTCACATCATTTCCATTCAACTCGAGTGCACCGACCATCAACACAGATCACTTAAATTATCACTAGGCAGATGAAACCAACGACTAACGTTATCTGAAACGTTTACCGTGTTCAGTAGGCGTGTTATATCCAAACGTTTTAGCTATTTGTAGTTTGTTTAATCAGTGACTGCTGTATACTGGAATGAACATTTCGCAAAAAATTTCACTTTGGGCGTCTTGAGTCATTCGTGACTGTGAGCTATCAATAAATGTGTAGACTTGATTAACGTGCTGGATGAAAAATATAAATATAATCAACTGTTGGGGTTTGAATTGAAATCTTGAATAGAAAATACTCTAATTTTCAGTCTTCATTCACTAAAAAGAGCAAAAAATGGATGAAATTCCTGGACACAACAAAGTTACTGGATAATGAAAATGTTGTCACTGACCTCAGTCGAGCTAACTTACAAATGTCATTTCTCAGCAATACCGAGTTATATGTGCTGACCGGTGATATATTTATCAAATTTACATTTTAGGAAATTTAGATAGACTCTTTTCATGCATTGTTAAAATAATTAAGTAGTATTCATACTCTGTTTGAATAGAACGATATGACAATTGGATGCACATAATAAGTTTATCGCTATCATAGACATTAGGTCGAAGACTAGACTAAAATAACATCGCTTACTACTTAGTAATCAAATTTGATTATACAGGAGGTCGGTCACTGTCTAAATAACTCAATGGTAACGTATCAAACAGTAAAAATGTGTAACGTGGTTTCAAATAAAACAGGAAGCATCAGTTACCTTACAGATGACAGATACCTCTACTTGACGAGTGGTAATTTTTAAGAAATCTAGGCTCAAAGTTTCCTTTTGAACAAACCTCTAGAATACAAATCAATAAAGTTAGTTAAATAAATAAATAAGTGATCCTGGTAATTAGTCTCATTTACAATCATGAATAAGCGAATAAAAAAGAGAAGCCATATCTTCAAATAAATCTCAATATATCTTATTATGATAATTGCTTGTCCATTATTAAGTAAATACCGATTAGTTATTGATCTACAAAGAAATACATTAGCTGAATACAACTTAATCTATGGAAATAATAAAAAGAAAACATTAAGCTTGAACAATAAACTTAATTGCCAATACATTTTCCTACGTTTCTTGCTAAAATTAATTACTTCCCATATAAAAAAGTGATGGTTATAAATTTTTCCATACGAAAAACGTTAGAAAACGTTTTAGAAAGTCGATTATTCTTACAATAAATTTGTAGGTGATTTGTTTTGGATGCAAATTAATAACCGATGACAAGCCAGTGGAATGAAATAAATTTCATTTCGTGTAGAAATACTGATATAATTCTGTTTTCTATATACATGTTTTCAAAGCAATCAACTTTTTTAGTTTTACACCACGTATTGACTCAATCATGTATCTGATGAAAACTAGAAAGTTTTCGACAGATGGGTCGTTCTGATATTGGATGTCTTAGAAATAGGTATCTAAAACAATACTGGTATTTAAACGTAGGACCTTCAAGTCTCACGCAGAGCGCTTGACTTTGAAACTACGGAGTTAAAATAGCCCTTTCTTCTCAAAACATATTCTCGAAGTTGAGCATTTATCACTATAACGTCTACCACGATTCATCTGTTTAACTTCATCTCGTTGTGCTAACATAGAATGACAAATTTAGCTGACGTAAATTTATGTCTGAGTAGACTCAGAGGTTCGTCGGAGAGAATCTATCGTAAGAACACTTTCTTTCCGGTGAACTCATTTACTTAAGCTGTAAGTTCGTATTGAGATTTGTTTGGTAAATATATGAGTCCAAAGGAGAATAGAAAGAGATTGCGTCATAAAGTGACCCGAGATGTGATATTATCAAAATAAGGTTGCGTAATGATCGAGAAGATGAAGAGTAGGGGTATAGAAAAAGTTTATGGGTTAGAAATGTGGGAGGTAACTATTCACCTAACAAATCAGAAGAAAAAAAGATTAACGTTAAGGTCATAAAAATCATTTGAATAAAAATCATAAAAGACTGTTAGAGGATACTAATAACTGACAGCTTTTCGCAAAGATACATAAATCTACAGATAAATTATACTTACCATATACATTTTTTATAAATTGACTGACAGTCTGTTTGCCTAAACTTGATTTTGCTGCATTTACATTATGAAGGCTGGTTTGTAGTAAGAGAATAGCATAAAATATTAATGATAACTGATCCAGAGTGATAGGAGGAGCTGGTAAAGACTTCAATTGATGGTCATTAGTACTGGAAAAAATATCTGATGAATTAACAGATGTTGAACACCATCGAACTGTATGATAGTATTCAGAGATACATTGCAATAATCTGTCTATTTCTTGAGATTCCACCTATACAAGATTGGTAAAAGAAGACAATTAATTATTTTGGTTTCATATTTTTATTGATGTTCTCTATGAGAAAACTTAAGTTATGCGAGGATTAAAACAAACAAGGACGTTACATAACAAGATCTGCAAATATTTTCTATTGTAATTGTAAGAATGGTTATGTTCCTTAAATAGTACAAAATACGACTAATTTAAAACTAAATACTTGACAAAAATGCGTTGAACAGTTAACGTTTTAATGATTGCGAATTAGGGTATTCAAATGTTAAAAACGTAACGAGCAGAATGTTCATGTAATAAGTCAACAATGGTGCTACATTGCATATTTAACCGTTTACTTCAAATGATAAATAGTTGCCAAAATTTGATTGTAATAAGTGATTAAACCAATGAGACATAACTGCTGACCAAAATAAAGTGTGCGAAATCTAGATAATATATCGGATAATAAAATGGAAATGTACTTGACTAATCATGAAGTGAAATATATATATATATATATATATATATATATATATGGGGAGAGAGAGAGGTCACAAGTCAATAAGTACTTGAAGTTGAAAAAGAATTATGAAAACTCCAGATTTTTGACTAACAAAATATGATGCATTCAAACGTTAAATACATTTCCAACCAGCTAATACTTCAGTTTCTGTAAAAACAATACAAGTGACATGTGACGAATAGTCATGATCAACAGTTATATATTTTCACAATTAAACCCACGAGTTGATATAAGCTAGACCACCATTGAAAGTCTGGATGCACTGGATGTCTGTTTCGCCTCAGTATGTGACTCCTCAGCAGTGCGCATCCACGGTCTCGGGAGAGAGACTTGAACCAAGGACCCTCAGTCTCACGCGTGAAAGCTTAGCCTCTAGATCACTGACATGGTATCCAACAAAGTTAATGCCTAACTTTAATCAGTTCATGATCTTGCGCAACCGATCATCCATTATCTGAGGTGGGTAACTGTCTCACAGATGAAACAGATAGTACTCCACTGGTCCAGGCTTTTCGCTTGAACTCCAGTAGTTACCTCTTGAAGCTAGTCATTGGTGAACACATGATTGTTATCAGTACGGGGGTTTGTGGGGATTGCAGTATTTTAAAAGTTTTATATTTATTAAAATATACGATTAAGATCCTTTTTAATATGAAGAATGAAAGGAAGCGTTTTTGCTTGACAGTAACTGTATGCATAATTGGTCAACACAGTCATAACGTAATGACTTTCAATAGAGAAAATTCTTGAGAGTCAGTTACAGTTAGATAATTAACTTTACAATTGGTTTATTATTGTGTAGAGGATCAATACCAAGCATGTCTAATCCTTTAGTGGTAACGAGATCCTGTCAATGAAGCTATGTGATCACAATGTTTAGATGCTATGTAGTATCGCAAGGGTTTGGATCTTACTGAGAGCATGTGTTACCAAAAGATTCCAGGTAGGGCATATTGACAAGTGCCGACAATTATCTTCACTGTAGTTTCATACTTCTAATTTATAAATAAAAGAAATAAACCTATAAAAAAGCACCCTATAGATGAGATAAAGAGTTCAGTAAAACTTTTTTCCAATAAATTTCATACTATTTTAATTAATTAATAATTAATTGTAGTTTTGTGAATAATTAAACAAACCATGATACTCTGGAAATTATAAATGATCAAAAGAAAAACCAAAATAAAGGAACATTGGAAAAAATAGATTAAAAGAAATGGTGATATGGATGAGAGTAAATTTATTCAGTAACTATGATTCACTAAGATAATATAATTACAAATTACTGTACATTATAGATAATAAAGATTAAAATTTTTTTCAGAAATATCATTTATTGTTCACAAACTTAATTGGATAACTATTAATACCAAGTCCCACAATTTCGATTCATTGTCATGATGAAATTCGTACTTAGATTAATTTAATAACGCTAGTTACATTTTGATAATAATATATTTACGTTAATAGTTTGTAGAGTTAGTGAGTAACAATTTACATGAAATAAATTTAAGTTGTTTTAGAAATTTCACAGGTTGAAATCATGAGTCAGTTGAAGCTAGACCACCATTGAAAACCTGGAAGCACTGGACGGCCGTTTCGTCCTGGTATGGGACTCCTCAGCAGTGCGCATCCACGATCCCGCACTACGCGGGGCTCAAACCCAGGACCTACTGGCTTCGCGCGCGGGCACTTAACCAGGATCGTGGATGCGCACTGCTGAGGAGTCCCATACCAGGACGAAACGGCCGTCCAGTGCTTCCAGGTTTTCAATGGTGGTCTAGCTTCAACTGACTCATGATTTCAACCTGTGAAACTTCTAAAACTCTCCACAAAACCCATTCTGATTAAGTTGTTTTGTTAATAAAATTACTGTTCCCGGTTATCACAAAACTCTAATATCATATTTAAAAGCATAAATATCGCCGAAAACACGGATTTCGACGCAAATATGAGTAGTATTGCCTAAATGTAATACCACATTGAACACGGTAAAAACATTTACATTATATATATTACAAGCAATTAGAATCATTCATCCAAACAGATTACTACTGACATTATTCATTTATCTTTCGTGTGAATATAGGCCAGTAAATACTGGTGACGTTTGAATGTATATATTATTTGGTTGTAACTTTTCTGGTTATCGTTTTTTAGAAAAGCTTTATTCTATAGGATGTGGTAGCTAACCCCATGTCTAACGATTATTTTTTATCCAGGCATGGGGCCGGCCGTAGTCCTGGAAGGGCTCCAAGTGAAGTTGGTTGTAGCTATTAGTTTATGAATAATATAACAATAAAAATCATACTTTCTTAGTATATCAGTAAATTATAAATATAAATAAGTATGTAAATTATAAATAAGCACTAATGCGTGATTTGGGTTTACTTCCGAATATTTATACTTTCATTTTATCATTAGGCTGAATAATCCTCCAGTATATTTCCGATCGGTGTCTAGTGTCATTGAACTGATCATGGGTCATACGAAGACTTTCATTTCATAATGACAGTCAAAATACGTTTACTTTAAAATGATATGATCATTGATGGATTAGAATAACTAATTTACATGCTCTTCGACGTTATGCAAGCTAATTGCTTATACTAGATGTCGCTTATAAGTCGTCTCGGTGCATCGCTAACAGACTCATAGGAGGATATCGAATTAAACAGGAATGAATTCAGTAAATAATAAATACAAGTTTTATGAGTTCAAGAACTAGGAAAAAAAACTTAAGAATAACAGAAACTTTTATCGTTGAATACAAATTATTGAACCCAACATTTCTTCTTCTGTGGTATTAATGAGGCCTTCTCTCCTACTAGGCAAACCATACACAATACCTACATGACTTTAATCGATAGTAAATAATTTGCAGCTGAGCCGGATGAATGACCCAGTGGACGCCCAACTTCAAGATCAACACGCCGGATTCCACAAGGACTAGTCGTGCAAGACTAAATTGTGACACTAAGGATCATCGTCGAACAGTTAGCCGAATGGAACTCGTCACTATACATCAAATTAATTGACTACAAGGTGTTTGACAGTGTAGACAGGAGAAAATTATGGAAAATTCTTCGACACTATGGAGTTCCTGAGAAGATTGCCAACATTATCCGGAACTCATATGACAAACTACAGTGCAAAGTGGTGCATGGAGGACAGCTGACAGACTCATTCCAAGTAAGGACTGGAGTCAAACAAGGCTTCCCACTGTCCCTCTCTCTCTTTCTTCTGGTGATCGACTGGATTATGAAGACCTCGACATCTGAGGGAAAGCACGGAATACAATGAAGAGTTCAGAATCATTTAGATTTGAACTTCGCAGATGACCTGGCCTTTCTATCCCATACACACAAACAAATGCAGATGAAGACAACTAATGTAGCAGGAGCCTCTGCATCAGTAGGCCTCGACATACATAACGGAAAAGCAAGATCCTCAAATGCAACACAGATAACACCAACCCGATCACATTTGACGGAGAAACTCTGGGAGATATGGAATCTTTCACGTACCTGAGCATCATCATCGACGAACGTGGAGGATCCGATGCAGACGTAAAGGTGAGGATTGGTAAAGCAATGGCAACATTCCTACAGTTGAAAAACATTTGGAACTCAAAACAACTGTCAACCGATTTTAATGTTAAAATCTTCAATATGAACGTCAAGACAGTTCCGCTGTATGGAGCTGAAACTTCGCGAATTAACACCATCATCAAAAAGGTATAAATATTTAAAAACAATTGTCTATAGAAGATACTGAATTTCCGTTGGCCGGATACCATCAGCAACAGCCTACTGTGGGAGAGAACAAACCAACTTCCAGCTGAGGAGAAAATTAGGAAAAGACTTTAGAAGTGGGTAGGACACATATTGAGGAAGTCATCAAACTGTATCACGAAGTAAGCGCTAACTTGGAATCCTGAAGGGGAACGTAAAAGAGGGAGGCCAAAGAACACATTGCGCTGAGAATTAGAAGCAGACATGTAAAGAGTAAATATCAACTGGAAAAGATTGTCCAGGACAGAGTTGGATTGAGAACTCTGGTGGATAGTCTACACTCCTCTATGAAGAGTAACAGGAGTAATTAAGTTCTAGAGTGAGTGTCGTTCTCAACTCCCGATAAAGGATGAGAGTTGGGCATGGGGTTAGTAACTGCATCTCGTGGAAAAACTCTTGCTAAGAAAACGTTAGCCAGGAAGAAAGTCTAAAAGGTAGTGAGAAATATCAGTTTTAATTTTTCCTAATTTTTTGCTGATCCATTGCTCACCCTCACCTCAGTTATACATGAAAAACAATAAACAAAATGAATCAAATACAAACTATGTCCTCGGTTTTTTTATTTCAACACTATTTACTGCTATCTGAATGAACTAGAATTTATTATTGCAATGAGTTGTGTGGATTGTTCAAATCCATTTGAATTATGAACTGATCTAAATTTGACCACCATTAAAACTCCTCATCAGTGCGCATCCACGACCAAACAAACATTGACCAGTGGAACTAATCTATTTCAGGTGTGAGGAAATTACCTGCTAAAGACAATGGAAAATGGTCGCGCTGTCATAGGCTGATTGAGATTAGACCTTAGCACCGTTGGATGCCTAATTAGAGGTCCAGAAGTTAAGCGTTCGCACGCGAAATCAAAGGCCCTAGGTTCGAATCCAGTGTGCGAGGTTGTGGGTGCTTACTGCTGAGGGACCCATACTGTCCAGTGCATCCAAGTTTCCAATGGATACCAACCTTAGATCGGTTCGTAATTGAAATCAAATCTATTGATTGGCGAGCTAGCGATTTATCACCTCATATTTATTATACAAAGAGGAAATGATATTGATAAAATCATTACAAGGTTAACAATAATCATTTTCTTGTTTACCGTTTGAATAAATTCAATTCATACAGAATAAAATCATCAACAATATGATAACTATTGAGCAAAAAAACTGATGGATCAAACGTAAACAATCATGAGTTTAATGAAACAAGAGAGTTTATTTGTAAAATTTAACAAGTTAACTGCATGGTCAACATATCTGCTTCTATACACACACACACATAGATATAAATTTGCATTTTCATTAAAAAGTTGAGGAAGGGGTTGGGATGGAATATGAATCATCAACCTAATCTTTTCATACACAATACTGAGTTATAAATCAGGGAAAAAACGATTGATTGTTAACAGTAAAATGAGCGAGAACTAAATAATAACAGAAAAAAAACTATGTACATATTGACAGTAGGATGAGTAAGTATTTGGGAGAAATTTTTCTCAGGTTATATAGTTCTTCCTCGAACTAATAACGTGATGAACGAATTATTCTCTTTTTTTAATATTCATTTGGTATGTAGCAAAACTAATGTAGAGAATTATAAGATTATTTGTAAGTAGATGAAATAGATTAGAAATTAGGTCAAGAGAAAAAAGAGATTAACTCTTTTTTTTCTACATATATAATACAGTATTTTTATTTAATGAAGAAATTCTGAAAATGAAAAGCTTATTGGGTGATCTATGTCATTATTTAGATTTTGTAAAAAAATAATACATGGACGTTGAATAAGTTGGTGAGATATAAACCAATGATTGATTTGATTGGTGATTTAGCGCTCTACAATTAAACGTATAGGAAAAGGATTTTTGTTGTTAATTTACTCGCCAATGAATGGAAGAAACTAAATCCCGCGAGAGGGACCGTGGATGCGCACTGTTGAGGAGTCTCGCAATAGGAAGAAACGGCCGTCCAGTGCTTCCAGGTTTTCAATAGTGGTCTAACATCATTCGGCTCAAGATCTTAATCAAAAACTTAATCTCCACAACCCTATACTGTACGTTCTTTATATTATCATCCTAATCCAGTAGAACTGAAAATACCAAGTAACTGTTCGCTGTCAGTTAAAGGATGGCGACTTAAAGATATTACAAAAATAATCTCAGATACTGAGAGAACTTGAAGGTTATCACTCATTCAAGATGATAAATTACTATTTCATTTAAGAAAATTAATTTTTGCTGTTGAATTTTTCGACTTGGATGATGTAATTGTCGAACTGTCATTGTCTTTCAAGATATCATCACTGCCTACATTACGTTGACTTCTACAAACTGAGTAGCAAATCTTCTGCAGGATTTCACAATCAATAATTTATCATAACCTACAGTCTAGACACTTTGAAAGTAATGTTTAAGCTTGAAGCAAATTTTCACGTTTTAGTAAAACTTCAAGTTAAATTTAAATAAGATAAACTTGGTTGAAAAATTAAATAAATGATGGTCATGTTGTATAAGTGGGTTGAGTTAAAGTTTAGATGTCGACAAAAAAGCTAGTCAAATCACCGTCTACTTTTACAGAATTATTTATAGTCTTGAAATAAGTATAATGAGTTCAAGACATAAATCGAGAATATTTGGTATGAAATTTTATGAAACAGTGAAAAGGTTTATATTTATTAAATCCTATTAGTCATAAGGCTTTTAACTTTTTACATTCGTCCCTTAGTTAAAATTACACAGAACAAAGAAATTAACGTTAGCCAAACTGAAGAATTTTGGCGTTTCCTTCAAACATTATTTGAAGAATACTTTTTTCTTTAGTCAATTGAGAGTAATAATATCGTCTGGGAGGATTATTTTAGACCAATTTTTCTCATAAAATACATGTAATTGGTATTTAATAAAATATTTAAAAAAAATCAAAAGCTAAATTTAATTTTCTGCTAATAATCAACTTACAGGCATCCCATATCGATGAACAACCAATCGCAAAGCTTCATCTACTTCCAAACCAGAAATGTTTAAAGATTTCAGAAGAATCCTATATTCAAAATAAGTACGAAATAAACATTTTAAAGTAAATTTTAGTTGAGATTATTACTTATAAATAATGATCTTCAGAGTTGAAGATTCGAAACAAGCAGAATGATTAGCAAAGCCCTACTACTAATCAGGTTATATTTTAAACTGAATCTCAGATTGAAAGAATGACCATAGTGCAATAGATGTTCAGTTGATAACAGGTCAGAAACGTGAGACCAAATATCCGAAACACTCCAAAGTCTAGTTTTACTGTAAATTATGGTGTTTTTTATCAGTCAAATCAGTTCAACGGTGTACTTCATTATATCAGTGAGATATATAACCCCACAGCAATTACTCTTTAAGTTAAGTGCACAGGCATGTTACCAAATATAGAAAAGAACTTGAATCACTTCTAAAATAAAGTTATATGCATTAATCAGTTATTGAAGGGTAATCAACATCAATTATCTAGTCTTTAGTATACGTCTAATTGTAGCTATTTCACAGACTTGAAATTAGGTTTCAGATCTCATCATATTCAGCGTATAACAATGCTTAGTAACGTGGTCAATTGGTCTGTTAGTAACTTGCCTTTTGGATTTATATCATTAATAAGGGATCGACACGATGATAATAGTTGCTACCCACATATATGAATGTTAAGCGTCAGTTCTGCTAAAATTATAGCTACCATCCTTATTGATGAGTGTTAATTAAAGCCACATTTAGACTGATAATTTTCAACTGAGTGCCTTTAATTTACAACTAGTAATAAATGTGTAATTGTTATGCTCTGTTAAAAGCCTAAGCTGTAAGTTTTCGACAAAGTATTGAAGTATGATAAATAACAAATGAATAATACCAGGTTAACACAATATATTAAATACATTTTATGCATATTGTACATCTATGATGTCATTGACACATTTCAACAATGATTAAAGGAAAGCGAATCGGTGGTCAGTTATTTTAAACTAGCCTCTTTGCCGAAATTATTTTCACTCGTTCATCTCAATGAGAATTATTGATAGTATTGAATCTTGTGTAATATATGTATATATATTCTAGGAATACTTATAAGTATGATAAATCATATCGTGATAATATTTGTTTTTTTACTAACTTTTACGGGAAAAAGGGTGATGATCGAAAAAAAAACAAGTTAAAGAAGCAAAAGAGGAGAAAGATTGTGAAGGAAAACAATTCGAAAACATATTTATCTATCATATTTCTATTTCTAATATCTTTATGTCTTAAAACCAGTCCAAATGAGAAGCAATCAATTCTGTTTTATTTTGAGAAAAAGAAGCAAAATGATAGTCTACTACTAATACTATTATTAATTTTTTTCCCGAATAACTTATACTCATGATATTGAATAAGTAGAAAAATATGAAATAATGTAGTTAGTCAGTCGATCGTAATCACTGTAGAACCTGGCACAAATATGTATTGGCTTAAGTTACTATACTACTCATTAAAGCAAGACGATATAATATTAATCGGGTGAATAGCAAAGGAATCGGAATAATATAACAATAATGATAAAGAGAAAGATCAAAAGTTGAAAATATGGTTTAACAACAAGAAATGAAATGGTATATATGAAACAGTATTGGAAATCAACATCTGAAGTAAAATAAAGAGTGAATACACCTGTTCCATTGTGACCGATTCTAACCAATGTTACTATTCAACTCCTCTAACTATTAACGTTGGTTACTGTCCTGAACTTAATCAGGTAGTTTGCATCTATCGACATGGCTAAGACCCACAGTAAATGAAAAACGTCAATTTTTCTAAGATTTTAAGTCAAAAAATACAATGGTATGCAATGTATTATAATTTAAAAGTAAAATACAACAATAAAACTCAGAGTATGTTCTTTTTCTACAGTCATCGTGAAATTTTGTTATCTTCACCGGGACTGTAATCTGTCGTCAACTGTTTTGACAGATTACAAAGCTTTTAATTAAGTCGTTGAACTATTGTGAGGTTGAGCGATATCATGAATTAATTAAAGTTAAAGATGTTGATTACTAGGTACCTGCTCAGTAGCCCAGAGGTTAAGCATTCGCAAGCGTAATCGAATTTCCTGAGTCTGGTTTACTGATACGAACTCGTTGATGCGCACTATTGAGAAGTCATACACCAGGGAAAAGCACTCGTTCACTACTCTATGATTTTTGACGATAGTCCGGCTAAGATCAGTTCGTGATCAAAGCTATGGAAATTCTACGATCTACACAAATCCCTTGACACTCATAATTAAATTTTGTCAGTATAATCACTAGTTGCAAAACATATAGACATATTCCACTGTCATTTCGTAAATGAAATAAAAAACACGTTCAGAATCCAATAATTAGTCACAGTCTACTTACGTATTGCTAATCATTTCCAAACAAAACGAAAAACCATTAACAGGATGAAAATGTTTTATGGAATAACAGCCTGAAATTTTTGAAATTTATGCTGTAGCTACACCAAAAAAAATACAGGAAGTTGTTATACAGATATGCATATGAGCTCTTAACATTTTACTGTTGACTAAGCCAATACATACACATAATACATTTTATAAGAAATCAGTGTAGTTAAGTAATCCGACGTGAATTATGAAATTAATTATACACTCTGTTGGATGTATACTTTAAAGAAAAATCAATGTAAAACTAGAAATGAAATAGAGAAAATTAATCACAGAAACTGTAGAACTAAACTAAACAATCACATGTATGCAATAATCAACATAAAAGAATGTTAGTTCATTTTTCACTAGTAAAACCAAATAATAAGCATATATTATGAAACATTTTTATATTTAAATGTTGGTATACATTAGAAAAAGAAAAAACAAACCCAGATTGCTCAGCATGATATTGAACATTTTTAGTCTTTCAAAGTGTATGTTTTAAACAGTTGCTGACAAACTAATAGAGGGTTAATGTGATGTATTATTTTTTTTAAGTTAAAAGATAGAACATTAACTAGTATTTAAACAAGTTAGAAATGATGTTAATTAGATTAAAAAAACATAAAGAAAAATAATTATTTTAAATTATGTAACAGATTATACTTGTTATATTATACTGAAGACTAAATGAATGGTAACTTTCAGGAGTAATTTATGAACTATTATCATATATATATTCTTAGTGTATAATTATTACGTTACTAGATAAGCTTTCGGTTGACATATAAACTACTGTTATATGATTTACTGCACTTAGTTTGTTCCCATTTTGTTATTCACAGTCTCCCTTTGTTCAAAGTTATTTTTTTAGCTTGCACGTGTATAATTAGAATTTTTCACTTCATGATGTGATATAGTTTGTACTCCTTGTATATATGATTGGAATATAAGATTCGTTGGGGTACATTATTGACTTCTGGACTCTAAGGCAGGTCAGAGAGAGAAGCTACAGTATCGTGAACCAGTAAAAACTTATCACTTGACTCAAGCTTACTAGTGCTGGTCGGACGTGTAATTGGTCAACTTTATTTATTTATTAATTAAACATAGACATTGGTACAAGGAGGCACAGAATATTTATGCGCCACACTTCGTCATTCGATTTGTGTGAGAGCTGGGATGCTGCCGGGGTGCCAAAACCAAAGCAGGTGGTTTTCTTAGGGGGGCCACACCTCGAGCCTTTGGCTTAGAAACCACAACAATGGAGCAACGTTAAAAGATTCAGGCCTATGGTAACCAGTGATCAACATTAGCTTCATAAGCCAACTTTCCACTCAGTAGCCTGGAGCTCATATGCACCATTGGTTTGGAATCACGGTTTTCTAACTCTTTTGGGTGGATCATCTATATCCACCAACCTTTCCGTCCTCTCAACTTCGTAAACAATACCCCGGCGCAGGAGGTCGGTGAGTAGGACTTCCTTGTCAGTGGCTGTATACGCGTGACCATGTGAGAGAATTTCGAGAGGGAGAGCCAACTCGCTCTACCCTCGGCTGTACCAGGGCATTTGGGGGCAAAGATATTAATTCATATCAATCGAGATTTTGATTAGTGGTTTTGTCAAGATATTAATCAGCCGCCATAACATATACTACATTTCTCACCGACCAATTATATATATATATATATATATATGCACAATGAGTGTTGGATTTACTGTACCAGATAGAATATTTGGTGTTTAATCAAAACATTGAAAAGAACAATACACATGTATATAGGGTGTTGATAATTTAATTTTACACCAAATAACATAATAAAATTATTGCATAAAATTCTCTCGTATCAATAAAACTGTAGTTAAGAGAAACATCAGTGTTTGAAATGGTTATGTAGTATAAACTTCTAACAAATTAAATGTTTTTTAGCTAACTCTAAAGTCCCAATCAATCAGTCAGTCAGCCATATAAATAGTATGGGACACGGGACAAATGTACAGTAGTTTAAGTTATCGCAGCTAATATCAATACAATAGAAGAGAAAATTAACAAAATGCAAAGCATGTGAATGTTGGTAATAAGACGCTTTAAGAGAAAGAATGAATTCAGAAAAAAATATGGAATAATACTAAAACTTATAATTTAGGAAAGAGTAAAGGGTAAAGAGAGGGTGGATCGGAAAAATGATCACTTTATGAGAAATATCTTTTAAGGTCTCCAACCATTGGTTACAGTTAGATTGAAAACTGTAATATGAAAATCTAAATTTCCTGATATTCCATTAACAGAAAACATTGATGTCTTTGTCTTTCAGCCCTTGACGTTCCCTCAATCTATTTGTATGCTTTTAGCTTGTTTAACACATTGTTTTTCATTACTGTAAGGGTGCTTCACAGATGGTTAAATACTATAGTATAATTTACGAACTGATCCTAAATACAAAACTGTTTAAAAAGGGGAAACATACGACAGCTACTTTAATCTAGTATGGGACTCAGTAGTGCGCATTCAACGCCAAATTAGTGGCCTAGAGATGAGCAGCACGCTGAAAGATCTTAATGTCTTAGGTTCGATCCCTCGTCGGGTTGTGGATGTTCACTC